ATGAACACCTACAGACCTGTCGCCCTGACATCTGTAGTTATGAAGTCCTTTGAAAGACTGGTGTTGGCCCACCTGAAGGACATTGTAGACCCCCTGCAGTTTGCCTACCGGTCAAACAGGTCAGTGGACGATGGAGTGAATGTGGCACTGCATTACATCCTGCAACACCTCGACTCCCCAGGGACCCATGCATCAGACCCTCATCCCGGACATCCTCCACTCTATACTAACCCAGCTCACTGTGCCTGCCCCCACCTGTCAGTGGATTACTAGCTTTCTGACAGACAGGAAGCAGCAGGTGAGGCTGGGGAAAACCACATCCAGCACCCGGATAATAAGCACAGGTGCCCTCCGGTATGTGCGCTCTCCCCTCTGCTGTTTTCACTCTACACCAACAATTGCAATTGCAGGACCCCTCTGTCAAGCTCCTAAAGTTTGCAGATGACACAACGGTGATTGGTCTCATCAGAGAAGACGATGAGTCAGCCTACAGGCGGGAGTTTGAGCAGCTGGTCCTGGAGCTCAACACGCTCAAAACAGTGGAGATGACAGTGGACTTCAGGCAGAGCCCCCCCATCTTACCCCCCCACTACATGTTCCTGGACTCCGCTATCTCCCAGGACCTGAAGTGGACGTCCAACATCAGGACCATCATCAAGAAGGCACAGCAGAGGATGTACTTCCTGCGCCAACTCAGGAAGTTCGACCTGCCCCAGGAGCTGCTGATACAGTTCTACAGAGGAATCATCGAGTCTGTTCTCTGCACCTCCATCACTGTCTGGTTTGGCTCAGCAACCAAACAGGACAAGTACAGACTTCAGTGGACAGTGAGGACTGTAGAAAAGGTCATTGGTGTGAGCCTGCCCTCCATGGAGGACCTGTACACCGCACGGGTCAAAAGGAGAGCGGAGAGGATCACTGCTGACCCCTCACACCCTGGACACAATCTGTTTGAACTCCTCCCCTCTGGATGGCGTTATAGGTCACTGTGCACTAAGACAACCAGGCACAGGGACAGTTTCTTCCCCCAGGCTGTTGCTCTGATGAACACTTGACCTACCGACAGTATGACTGGACAATAACCCTCAGTGCAATACCTGTAAATATATGTACCTCGTACAGATTATGCAGAATTGTACAGGTCTCTATTTTTATTCCTATTTATCTTCTTTCACAATGAGCATTGCTTGGCTGTCTGCATTGTTTACTACCTGTTTATACTGCTTATTTTGCATTGTTTGCACTGTTTGTTGCTTGTCAATACTGTTTATTTTGTTACACTACACAGCCTTATGTTGGTTTAGTGTTTACTTGCCCCTTGCATGGGGATATGTACATGCACATTGAGAGCCGATGTACCAGAGTCAAATTCCTTGTGTGTCCGACACACCTGGCCAATAAAAGAGATTCAGATTCAGATTCTGATTGTGATTGTTATTGCAAGAGGTGCTAGTGTGTAGTCTCTAAGAGCAATGCTACATGGGACATGTAGTGTGTTTACCCTGCAGCCATAATGCCCCACTAACCTAAGGAAAAAAAGTTTTCTTCACTACTCGTGGGGGTATGCTTCACCTGATGTGTGTGGGTAACTCTTGAATGACAAAAGATGAGTGTAATGAGATACCTGTACACAGCCCCATAGGGGGCGGCCTGGAGTCAGAGACTATGCCGGGGAGAGTCACTACTAAACACCTATGGATTTAGTTACTCTGGAGGATGTACCTGTAAGTCTTTTTATTAAAAATCTGGTTGGTTGTTAACTAAGCAGTTGTTCAGATAAAATGTTGTTTGTGAAGAGGGAACTGTTGTAGGTATTTGGGTGAAAGAGAAAGAGATCTATGGCTGAGAAATGTTAGCGTTTATTTCCTAAATAATTTTGAATACTAATTCCTTAAACTTTGATGGCGTGAAACAGCAGCAGATCCCAAAATAAGATAACTAATTGTGTCATAAATTTAATTATTGAAATGAAAAAATGCATTGGCCAAATATTTATTCAAAATTTAATTCATACCTCTTACAAAAGTATGATGCTGTGAAACATCCGCCTTTTCGCATAGTTGAATTATTTATAGGCTATAGGTGAAACAGACTGTGGGGTGAAACAACCATCTTTCCTTATGGTCAGGAGAATTATTGTTTCACACTAGTAAATAAATAATAATTCAGTTACACACACACACACACACACACACACACACTAAAGGCACTACACATAATAAACGTCATTGAAGCTAAACACAGGTGAAATATTTAATTGTGTGAAAAACCATTATATATAAGTGTATGAGAACGCATCTGTCTCGGGGGCACTCTATATCTCTCTCTCAAAGGGATTAATTGAGTCTCCCCTTTGTCATAAAATATAAAAATATGAAAAGATTAAAGGATACAGAGAAAGAAGGCATAAAACAAAGGCAAAACTATGTAGCTATTTTGAGAAAAGGTGGCAAAAAGCAACACAGGAAGAGACAAAATGGAGGACTGTGATGGACAGAAAGGACAAAAGAAAGAGGAAATTCATTAAGGTGAGTGCTTTTGCTTCTGAGGTGCTTTTTATATTTACAACTGAGATTGATGCGGATTAAGCACAGACACCTGAGTCTAGGATCAAGCCTCAACAAACACGACAGGCTTCCTGTTACCCTTCAAACCCTTTTAGTGAACCAAGATTACATCTACACATGCACACGGGTTGACACATACTGTACAACAAAATCACA